ACATAAACTTGAAGATCTACAGGCAAAAACTAACAAGTTGATAGAAGAGGCAGCTAAGACGGGACTTCAGGTGAATATAGAGAAGACAGAAGTGATGAAGATACCGCACCACCACCATCAACAACAAACTCCAGTCACCATCAAGGGGAGAAACTTAAAGGAAGTAACCTCCTTCACTTATCTAGGAAGCACTGTTTCAACTACAGGCGGGACGGACGAGGACGTCAAAGTCAGAATCGGAAAGACAGCAAGACAGGCTTTCATTAGCCTGAAACCAGTGTGGAGATCTTCTGCACTCAGCATGCGGAACAAGATACGGATTTTCAACACCAACGTCAAGTCAGTGCTCTTGTATGGCTCAGAGACTTGGCGACGCGTCACGAAAGGCATTTCCAATAAACTACAGACATTCATCAACAACTGCTTACGCTCGCTACTGAAGATCAGATGGCCAGAACAATAAGAATAAGCAACAAGGAACTCTGGGAACGAACCAACACAGCAAGAACCTATCACCCAACAAATATGCAGGAGGAAGTGGAGATGGATTGGCCATGCACTGAGAAGGCCGACTGAGGACATCACGCGCCAGGCGCTCGAGTGGAACCCAGATGGGAGGCGACGAGTTGGACGTCCAAGGGTGACATGGAGGAGGTCGTGCGAGGAGGAAATGAGAGGTTGCGGGCTGTCGTGGAACCAGGTCCAAACGATCTCAGAGAACAGAGGTCACTGGAGGCGTGCTACTGAAGCCCTATGTTCCACTAGGAACCCAAGGGACTAATAATAATAATAATAATAAATAACCTCTATGCACTCAGAAAGAGACTACGATTGACCTTTATTTACCCTGGTAACTGTATATAACTTTTTGCACATAGTCTTCCTTTTTTGGATTGCATCATCTCCCCCATTAATTACATACTGGCTGTTAGTCACTGTTAGTCACCTAACATTTTTTCCGGTTTTTTCATGTAACTAGGTAATACCTTCTTTCACACTCCTGTTTGTTTGTTGTCCCCCACCTCCTTTCCACAGCTCCAGAATTTTCTATCTCATTAGATATGAATTGTCACTGATTTTGACTAAGGTTTAGGACTATTAATCCTGTGTTTCATTGGCTCACTACCTTACTGTTAATCCTAGATTTCGAATTCTCACATATTTCTACATATTTGAAGTATGTTATGTCACTCTCACTACCAATACTTCATTTCAGCTGTAGGCTGTTTGCAGCTGACGTAAGGCTATGAAATAATATGAGTTCATCTTTATGGCTGTATTGTTCAAATTTGTCAAAGGAACTAAGTGTATGGAGTTTCATAAGTGTGAATATATGAACTAAACTGAAAAATAAAAGGTACTCCCACTCAATATTTGAATAAGAATACAAAAATTGAATAAACACATCGGTATACTAACCACTAAAAAGAGTGAACACCCTTGAACATAACCTAGTAATAATAATCGAAGAAAATCTACGAGAAGTTACCTTGTAGTATTGGAGTTTCGTACTGTCGAGAACTTGTTTCTGTGGAGTTGTTTCATCTACTGATTCAAGTGGTAACTCAACTTGACCTAGTAATTCAGTGAAAGATAAAGGCAGTAATGAACACAAAATGAGTGAACAATGTACAACAGTTGATATGATATTAAGGAAACTGAAAGTTCGAAGATGATTGTGACAAAACTAAGTAGTATTATTGTTTTGGCGACTTGACCAAGGCTAAGATTTGAAGAAAGCTTTCATCCCTAACTTTTATTTTTAAGAAAATCACTGTGCACTGGGTGAAATCGCAAAGCTGTTATGTGTTTGTGATGGAATGTGAAGGACTGATGATCGTTTGATTCATTAGAAATAGAAAAAGCGGTAAAACAATAGAAGGCGTATTGCTAAGTTAAACTGTGTACGAAATACACTTATGTATATATATCCACAATGGCCCTATTTATTTTGAGCCCTTCAACCAATTTGGCGTTCATACGTTTTCCCTGAAACCTCACAGTACACTGATTTGTTGTGAAGGATTTCAGAAAATTTTCAACTTCTTGAAAGGATGTGAAGAATCATCTCCGACATAATGACAGTTTGCAATTATTCTGTGGCGTATGTTCACATCTTTCGGAAAAAAAGGTGGAGGACTTTTGTAGTAGGGAGATAGGACATACGAATTACCGAAATCTAATAACTGACATTCTTCTATGTCTAAAAAGTTCCTGCTCATCCATATGGATGGCTAGCTGACCCGTAAGGCGGTGGTTTCCTTACAGAACATAAAACTTCTGTTTTCCGAAGTCATTGTTAGATGATGGATGGTTTTTGCAAGCAAACTCCATAAACAGATTTTCTCAAACTTAATGAAAGATTGTAACCGAGAAACGGAACAGTTAAAATAACTAAATCCATATTGGTAGGAAAACAACAAAATGAGAGGTGTGCTAAACTGAGATGAAAAAGCCAAGGGAAAACAGGAAATAAGCAGGTCTAAAGTATGTTTAGTGGTTGCAACATAGTAAAAGGCGAATGCAACTATTCCGAGAATAACATTATTATTCCATGTTATCCAAAGTCCCTAACAGTCATCTCTCTACATAACACTGAAAGGTTTACAGTTTTTAGCACGATTGACTACAATAGTCGCGTACTAGCGCTATTTCTTTATTAGATTACAATACAGATTCTTCCCTCCACTCTTTAACCAATCAACACAACATTATATAACAGGATGTTGTTGTTCATCAACGTGATTAGTGCATCCAGTCACTTCATTTTATTGGTAAAGTCAGGCGTTGTCAGAACTGAATTCCACAAAATAAATTTCCATGTTGTGTATGCGAAATGGCGGCCAGTCGTTTTGGCTAAAGTTACCACAAAATATGTGGTGAGTCATCTAGTGCGTGCACGAGCACGTGTTTTCTGAGAGCTGATATACGTTCAAAAAGCTTAGAAAACATTTTCAAGATCCCATTTACTTCCAAATAAATACACTTTATTCTGAGGTCTATGGGAAATTTATCTATTTGAGGGAAGTATTTATTCATCATGGGATGAGATCAGTTGGAGAACCATTGGAAACCTGAGAGTTCTGGACAGCTGGTTCGTCCTAGTATGGAACTCCTCAACAGCATGCACACACAACCCCAACAAAGATTGAACTCATGACCTTCAGGTCTTGCCACTAACGTGCTAACCATTCAGACACTGGGTCACACAGTTCAATGATCCACAGTTTCGTACTTCTGTCAACTCACGATATAGCGCGACCATCTACCAAGGTCTTCAGTTGGCATTCGCTTCACTTCCGACTGGTTGACCCCACAGATCACGATTTTTCACTAGATCTTCCGGATATCCATCTCGAAGCATGTCACTAATGAGCATTATGCAGTAGTTTATTTTGTAGTTTATGGAAATTTAATTTATCGCAAGGTAGCAGTAATCACATTCCAGTGCTTCTACCTAGCAGTAGTTGACTTTCATTATTATGATACTTACAAAATACTCAAATTTTCCAAACCAGATCTCGATTTTGTTTGGATAGCTAGACGATCTTACACCATCTAGGACAGGCAACAATATTTTATCAGCACTATCTATCATGCTACTGATGCAGCACATCAAAAACGGAACGACTGGCAAGTACAGCAACGATAATGGTCATTTCTGATACGGAAACATACAAAAGCGCTAAGGAAATTAGATGTAGAGAAAAAGTATGGAAGAAAAGCATATGTGCTACACACAGCAAGAGAAGAAGTGGATGCATCTGTTTCACAGAAACAGACCTTCAGCCCTATAATTTAGTTACTGGTCATTCATTTTTGTTGTACTACAGACCTCGACCAAGAAAAATACGGTTCTCTATACAACGCAGACCAAGGGTCAAGGACTTTATGGATTTATGGTATGCTTTGGTATGATCATGGGATTTTAATCAAGTAAAATTCATTGGGTAACTTAAGAAGTCAACTGTACTATTCGACTAAATTATGTTGACCAGAGTTCTGCATCGTAAATCATCAATTCCTATTCAGTATTTCCACTACAATAATGCAATAACTTAAAGACACTGATGATATTACTCTTCCATCCTCGACGTTTAGAACCTATTTCTCATAGCGACGAAATAAGACAAAGTAGAATGCTAAAACAGCTCTCGATCGCCTCGTTTAGCGTGAGGAGCACAGTCGGTATCACACGTCAACAAATACACACATTCAATACAACTTGATGTCATTTATCGATGCACTAATGACCAAAGGAAAGATTTGTCGAAGTTTCCCACCATTTCTATCTTTCAAATTTCAGATAAAGATTGAATAAATTCTAGGGTTTTAATAACAATGTAAGTTAATCTTATCCGTCTGTGGTTGCTACAAGTGAATCTCCACACTTACTTGTGTAGCGATAGAATCACCTAATGAAATCAATGGGAGCAAATAGTTCTTAACTATCACAATCCAATTATTACATCTGTCAATATAACCAACGGTCAACTTCATAGACAAGTAGAATGATGATGATCACGATCAAATAGTTAACAGCTGTTATGCAGCTGAAGACATTGCGAATGTACGAGAATTTTAGTCGGTCATCAGTAGCTGCGTGTTTCAAGTATTTAAGTAAGGATAAACTTCTTTTTGAGTAATGACTGCCAGATTTATAACCCTCTTCAGTTTTCCTAATGAATTTTAACATCGGCTTCAACTTTTTGGTATTTGCTCTTAATCTGTTTTTACATCAATTCTAAGCGTTAGCAGCGGGTTTGTATGTGTTTGCTATTTGTGCAGCTGGGAGGCTTCATTGCACGTAATTCCTGTTTTAGTCATATCAGGAAACGAGTGTTCCCAACTTTTAAATGTTATCCAGTCATTCTGGCAAACGTTAGCTTGATGTGTAGTATAGTCTAACAAGTATGTCAACGGTGTAATGACACTTCTTTATGTTTTTAGAATTATTTGTATCTCGATGTATATCGTCATATATTTTTTTATCGTTCCAGTTATCTGCACTATTTGTTGCAACTTAGTAATAGGTGTCAAGCTAATCGACATGTCGATCGTACAATTGTTTCACCTACATATGTTTATTCAGGCCAACATTGCCCAATTGTTGTTCGACTTGTGGAGTCTATTTGGTCAGCTGGTCTTATGGAATCTAAATTTCAATCTGTTAAATCAAATGCTTATCCTTCTGAACAGAAGCATTCCGATTTTGAATTGATTGATCAACCCCAATTGACTGAGGCATTAAAGCATATGGGTCTGTCAAACGAAGGTAAGTTGTTATGTTTAGTCAATAAACATTACAAAAAACCAGTTTTCTTTTAATATGTGTATATAGATTAAAATTAAGCCATGTGATTTTTTTGAAGACATTTCGAATTGTTCATATAATAAACGTTGAGAGGTTTTAAAAGGAGCCCCAGCAAATAATGAAATATCTGATTCGTTTTCTTCATTTCACGCAAAAACTATGTTTCCAACCGGAATAAAGAAACCGATTTTGCTTAATTTAGTGGTTGCTAGGGTAACCTTTATAGTATAGCTTCAGAAAAGTTATGTTTACATAGTCAATCAGCGGTAGTTGTGTTGTTTCCAATATGGAATTCTTTTTGTTGACAGTCTAGAATGATTATCATGTCTGAGGGCGAAGTTGTACTGTTATCAGCTGGATGGTGTGTAACAGCAGTAACATGTTTTCTTTGGATGACCAGCGGCGCCATGCTGATGCTACCTTCTCTTTCGAGTACCTTAAGAAGAAGTAGCCTTCTACGGTATGGTAGCAGGGAAGTGTCAACCGCCCACACACTTTCAGTAGTGCCCAAGATCTTATCAAACATAACCTCTTTTCCTTTACCTTCATCTCCTGATACTAATATTAAGCCTCTTAGGCTTTACCCAACCTCTCACGCTTCAACCACTGTCAACGTCCAAAGCCATCACTACTTCATTCCTAGTCTCTCAAAACTGTCCCATCCATTTCATATTGTAGTCTTCAACTTTTAAACTCTATGCCAAACCAGACAGCAAGCATCGCTCACCAGAACTCTAGAATCTGGAGTCATGGATGTATACTTTGGCTCTGAGACACTTTTACAGGACCCGAGTGTGATTATTAAATTGACCTCACATGGTAGTGAATCTGCTAAAATCACCTTGGGAGTATCCAGAGACCCAATGGCTTGGTCTCGTGGCCTCGCTGGCGTAGGCATAGCATTGAGATGTAGGGTGGAAAATGTGCTTCTCGACTGGATACCAGTCAACAGCCGTCTATGTACTGTTTGACTGAATGGATCCGTAAGGAGTAAGAAGGATTATGAGACTAGGCGTTACCTATTCATAATCTCTGCCCATGCACCCACTGACTCTCGTTCGGATGATGCAAAGGATGAATTCTATGAGAAGCTTTCAACTTTGCTACAGAAACCGAAACGTTCAGATGTAGTCATAATGGTAGGCGAATTTAGCACCCAAGTGAGGAAGCTGAGGTAGTTGGAGAGGCATTTTGTAGGTACTTACGGAATCCAATAGCAATGAACCGACAACGGTGATCTTCTGCTGCAATTCTGCTCCGACGATCATATGTTTCTGCCTAGCACTAACTTAAGACATAAGGAGACATTGTCTCACATGGCGTTCGCCGATATCAGACCGTCGGTGGAGGATTGCCGCCCTTGCTGGATTACCTGTTTGGACTCCGATCACGCGATGGTATGGGCTCGTGTATGCTTGCATCTTACTGGTCGTAGGAAACAGGTGATGGTAAAGCCTGCCTATCCTTGATTGGTAGATGGGACGCCAAATACATGTTTAGGCAACAGTTTGCTAAGCATTTATCTGAACGTGACAGCGATTCTCATCCTGAGAAAAACTGGGTGATACTAAATCTGCTGTACAAACAGCGGTGAAAACAATTGGTAACCTGCACGTAAAGGTTAGCAAACGTCATTGGATTTCCGCAACGTCATCTTAACTGAGTGATGCGAAAAAACTGGTTCCAGCTGGTTTTGACCTCAATGAAGAGCGAAAGCAACTTGGGCGTAAGTTAGACCAACAGCCTTTGCGTAGATCTCGAGCAGTGGTGGGTGACGAAAGCGAGAGAGAGATGGAGAAGGAGTCAGCGTTGGGTAACACTCGGCAACTACTTAGACTTATTAAGGACCCCGCAAGGAGACGGTGGTTTGTAAAACCAGCATCGAAAACAATGGGGTGCTGATAACTTCCCAAGATAGGTAGCTAAACGTTGGGCAGAAGACTTTGAAGCATGGTTCAACTGGTCCTCAGCAACGCTTCAGTTGCTTCAGGCTGTGGAACCTGAATAGGACGTAGGTGTCGGTCATATAATTAATTGTCTTTGAAGTTGAGAAAGCTGTATCGAACCTGAAACGATCTAAAGCACTAGGGCATAACAGTTTACCACTGACAATTTAAAGGATGGAGGTAGGAAGTTGCTAATTGGAGTGAATGGAGGTACTAGGTAGTGTATGGTAATCAGAGGTAGTGCCGTCAGAGTGGTATACTTCACTGATCATCCGGTCGATAAGAAAGAGAGAAATCTTTGTGTGATAACCATAGGGGAATTACTTTGACCGATATTGTGTCCAATATCCTAGGGACCATAGTTACCTGATGCCTAACTGGAGGTTGCAAATAGAAAACTCGAGAAAAGCAGGCAGGTTTCAAGCAGGCCTCAACGAGGGTGCGTCGATCATCTTTCCACCCTCCGACAGGTTCTGAAACCTGCCGGTGACCGACATTCGCCATATTTGTTCACCTGAAGACGGCATTTAACTCTGTTGATCGTGATGTGTGTGGCAGTGTCTGACTGAAAGGAGCACCGAGCAAGTACATAACGCTAATCACACCTCTCTACTCGAACTCACACACCTGTCTTAGGGGCCATTGAGAGTTGTCGTGTGAATTAATGGCAACTAGTGGTGTCCGCCTGGGTTATTCACTCTCACCTTTCCTATTTAACTTCGTTTTAGACGTACGTAACAATGGAGACAACCTTAGTAATGACTGACTTCAAAGGGATTGATCTACTCCTTGGAGGACATCTGGTTAATTTAGAGTATGGAGATAATTTCGTCCTTCTGGGTGAAGACGCTGACGCAATGTAGGGCCTTCTGCACGCCTTGACCAGAAACTGAGTATGTTTGGCATGCGTTTCTCATCTGTCAAATGTAAGGTGATGCTCCAGGACTGGTCTAGAACCACTCCCAGTTTAATGATACGGTATGAAGCAGTGGAATGTATCGACTACTTCACTTGCCTAGTGAAGTAAGTTGCGTGAACGTGGACGGGTTGCTTGCAGACAAAATCTCAGCTGGCATTTTTCAACCTACGTCATCTGTAGCGTCGGTTAGATATCTGGCTATCTGTCAAAAGATGAGTATACTGTGTCCAGTTTGTTCTGTAGTGCTGTACGGCTGGGACATGGCCGTTAAATGTAGATAACATGAAGTGGTTACAGGGTTTTAATCATAGATTTCTTCGTAACATTGCTCACGTTTGGTATAATCAGCTTATGAGCAATGTTGAGGTCATACGAAGCTTGCTAGGCAAGACAGGCAAGTTGATTGGTGCGGTTGTGAACCTTCGTCAGCTGAGATGGTTTGGAGATTCACTGCGCATGCCGAGCCACCGCCTATCTCGACGTGCATGCTAGGGGAAGTTGGATTAGATTGGAAGAGGGGTTCAGGGTGGTCAGACGAAGACGTGATACTAGTCGATGAAGTCCCTAACTGTTGGACTAAGCTGTATGGGGGAGATGTAGACTGCCTGGTTGGGGTCCCTGGAACTAAAGGAATCAGTGGTGAAGAAGTCTTGGTGACATGTCAGAAGATCGGTCACAATGGCGTGGATGTATTCACTCGTTGACATCTTGGAAAGCTTGAATATTTGCACTAACCTTTATCTTCAAATTGTTTATTCTCACACAATTTTATCTACTTTGATATCACTCCATTTCTATCTACCTGTTCTTTTTGTACCACTGTGGAGTGTGACAACGTGATTTCCACGTTGATTTTGTCAGTCAGTCAATCAGAATTACTGTGTACATTGAGCCTCTCGTTAATATGTACTCAAAGGAGTTGTTTATTTGGAGTGCTTCACAACACGTTCTTTTTCATGTGCGTTGATGACAAAATGGAGTTAACTTGTCCTCAGTAAAAATCGTTTGCTGTCACTTCAAGGCCATTAGTGTATGTTTGCCTCTGTGGTATACTAGTACATTAATAAACCAAGTTGAACTGTCCGTATATCACAATGAGAACAGTATTTATAGAATAAAATTACGTCATCCAACTTTGCGGAATTCCCATCAGCTACATACAATTTAAATAATTACATGGTCAATACTTAAATGTAAACATACATATGTAAGTGAACTATATTTGTAAAATACCAATGAAGTAGTAAAATAAATTTCTGACATTTTACGACTTCGTGGAAATCGCTTCTTCAGAGAATGAAACCTTTACAAGTTATCGACTGTTTAATTAGTAAGTTCTGACACCCTAACCTATTCACTTCTATCAGGTCAAATTTTGATCCTGAAGTTTATAAAGTGATTAATTTAGCTTTGGGATTATGGATAAGGAAGATAAATTTGTTCTTAGGGTTGTAAACCTGTCTGAAGTAATTGCTAGCATTCAAGAATTAGAGAGAATGTAAATAAGTCCTAAGACCAGAATTAAAAACATTGTAAACATCCAGTTCCATAGTTGTAACGAATGTCTGGGAAGAATTTGAGATCCAAGTCTTGTTTAATCATTATATAGGTAAGTTTTAATATGATCCTAGCGTGTTTAGAAAATTGAAACAAGATTTTTCTAAATGTTTCGCTGTGTATGTTACAGCTTCTTTAGGAGAATATTCAAATTTTTGATATCAAGACTCACATATTCTGAAATAGGAATAATTTAGAAGTGATTTTGATACCGACTGTTATATCCGTAAAGTCTCTTCCATGACGAAGCACTATAATAGAAAATTTTCTTTGAAATTGTGGATGATCCTACTTGTTACAGGAATCAAGCAGACGAAATGTAGAACCTTTAACATTAGTGCATAGGTTCAAGTTGACACACTTCACAGGAGCAGACAAAAAAGGAGATAGTAAAATAAGTGATGAGGAAGTTGACAAAAGTTCATGAAAGACGAAGGAATCCGAAAATCAAGGTCTTTCAAAGTGTCCCAGCTTAAGAAGCCATCGAAGAGTGAATGGTCAGTGAAGTAGGATCAGTGTGACAGGACTACGTCTAGTTGTCATATGCTACTTAGTACGTCCATCACTATACTCAGTGACTTTCTACTTCCATCTTTCAAAACCTTCGATGGCAAACCATCAGGTCCTGCTACTGCTTTGCATTGTTTCAGTTTCGAAACAGCATCCTCAACTTTTGGGAGAGTTTGAGGACCTATATTTCCCATTCAGGTTTGGACTGGATACTAAAGAACTGAAGTGCTGCTTTGGGCCAGTTGAACTGTTCTTCGAAGTATTTGACCCAACGTTTTAGTCCCCTGCACTTAGCGATTATCAGTATCCCATCGTTTTCGGCTATGGTCTCATTAACTTTGGCCTTGTTCTTACGGATATTCTTAATAAGCCTAAACATTCAACGGGTGTTACTTGATACTGATGCCTTCTCTATATATTTCGCTTTCTCTACCAGACACTGCGTGCTATCATTGTGGACTCTTAGTCAATTTAATCTTGTACTGCTTTCGCTCCTTATTGTAATCAAACCTACCTGGAGTGAGTCTTCCCTCACCAATCAGATAGAATGAGATTGCCGAAAGTGACTGGCTTTTGGTAAATTTTGGGTGTTGGCTGCCAAAGTAGACTTCATATTACGCCAGGCTTCATCAAGATGAGAATTAATAACTTATTGAGATAAATCCTCAGCTGTCTCTCCGCTAAATAAACGCTTGATGTTCTCTCCTTCCAATCGGGAGCACCCAAGCTTAAATGCCGTCCCTTTTCAGAGACCAGCAAGGGTCAAACAAGCACGTGCTCGCAATAATGCGAGATCGGAACTCTAGAAAGGCCATCCTCCACCGGTCCTCTTCAACTATGGCTTATAACATATGATAAATCTGTGTTCATCATTTGTTTGATGTTGACAGTGTTTTTCATTGTGCTTGGAGTTTGTGCTAGTCAGTAGCAAGTGATTGTCAGACATGAAAGTATTATGGGGACGACTACTTCTGTCGTATCATTTGGACTGCAGTTGGCAGGCGCGTGGGCGGATATTAAAAGGCACCATTCAATGTTATGATACCTCCCAGTTTTCACAAAACCGTTCAGTCAGACAGTACACAGACAGCTGTCGAATGATATCCTTTCGATAAGTGCGTTCAAAGTCATGCCTATACAAACGATTCCACGAGAGCTACCACTGAATCTGCGAACTGTAGCGAAGTAAGTTCTGCTGATTCATCACATTGGCTAGGTGATATTGGTTGAATAATCAAACTTGAATCCTGTGTGTTTGTCTCAGAATAGCATACATTTTTGGCTCGGGATTCCAGCGTCTTGGCAAAAGATTGGTATTATCGAATTAGGCATAGGGCTAGAATGGTAAAAGTTGCAGTGTGAAATAGATAGTTGGGTTTCAGCAGACTCTGAGCAGTATTCCGTTGACGTGGATAGCTAGGTATGGTCTCAGGGTAAGACGATGATGATGTTCTAATAGGCTTAATTCTGATATCGGTTAGTGAAGGCAAAGCAGGAGAAAAGAAAAGGAGGGGAGTAATTTATGGTTATTTGGGTTTTGTCAACTACTGGAAGCTTACCTGATGCTTCCAGGCTGCCTATACTGTGGAAGTTGTTTCTGCAGCTTACCTGGAAGGAAATTATTGTGTATGACTAGAGAACTTATTGAACATCTCTTTGAGGTTTGTCACACATGGCCTTTTCAGGATTGTTGGATTTAGATTTTATTTTGCTGTCGTTGGGCAGAAAAAAAATTCTGAACGCCGGCACCGGAATACTTCCGGGTAGGGGGTTGTGTTACTTTTCGGTTCGACCTTAACCAATCCTTCCTTCTCCATGGAAAAGTACCATCAACGTGGTACTGCAGGTCAACCATGGAACATACTTTACTGTTGTCACACCCGTCTAGTCAGTATTATGACTTCGTCCTCGGACATTATGACGGTTTCTTCCTTTTGTCCTACCACAATTCAGCTGACGTTTCTGATATCATAAAACCTCAAGAAGAAACAAATGTTTTCACCAGGGTACCTCATCGAATCATTGTGACACGTAAGCCGATTAACACGTCAAGGTCGCTGCTATTAGTTACAGAAGTCTGTCGTATAGTCTATACTCCGTGTCATAAATACATCCCTATTGACATTAACTGCCCAAAGTGGCATAATTTTCTGTTTTAATACTTGATATGTTTTTTTTCCAGTAGTTTTTGTCACAGTGAAATATTTCTATGGGAAAGCTGGTATTTTGTGACTAGATAAGGCAGTGCACTGAATTTTCGAGAATAATTGGAGTTTCCAAGGTTAAGTAATTGAAGTTAGGGAATGTATGTAATAATATTGGGTAAAGTTACTTTTTAGCTTTAGATGAGCGATTAACGTAGCGTAACAGTCATTTAACGCAATCCTATGCCGATATTCATGTATGAAGAAATACCATTCTTTGTTTTGAGAGCTCTTAACTTCTTCCCTGGCTCACTCATTCTACACGAAACGGGTTATCAAGTGGCACGCATGACACTCCATTTATAACAGACAGTGTAGGTTGAAATCTCAATGAATTGATATGCCTCTTTCTCTCATGAGAAATAAGTTAAAAGTTTCACATTAAATTGTAAGTTTTCTGTTCTAGATACCTCGGTCAATACACATGGTATGGTAGTGAAAACTGTTCGTAGACTAATTTTCAATCCTTCACATTACGAGAAATATTTATCATAAGTCTAGTGATAGTTAAAAATCTCATTGACGATTAATTGATGCTAACTAACTAATTGGTCTTGTCCCCTCTTAACTTATAAAAAGACTTCTTGTACTTTTAATCGTTTGTTCTTTTTCTACAAGTTGCTTCGAATCTAGGCCTCATAAATCTTTGTGATCCCTCACTAACGGCTGCAGGATATCAAAACGATATGTTTCTTACGAAAAATCGCCCAAACGCTCCAATGGCCCGTCCTTTGCCTCTTGTCAGCACCGACCAACCGGTTGTTGTAGCATTCCCCGGTGGCTGTACGTATGGTGAAGTTGCTGCTCTCAGATTTGTTGCTGCACGAAGGAGATGGAATCTGCTGATTGCTACATCTGTATGCTCACATCACGAGATTTATTGCAACAAGCTGGAAAGGCAGCAATGAGCATGAACCTTGCGTAATCGTACATATCTGTCGATAGATATTTTCACCATCTCATATTCCTTTTTCTTCACACAATTTATATTCTCAGGTCCTTCAAGTTTTCTAGAATGACAACATAAGCTTTCGTGATTACACACTAGAATACTTGTTATTTATTCTAGGTAAACAAAGTGTGTTTTGTGCTGTGAATCAAACGGGCTGTGCCTTTTTACCAACAATCATTTTCTTTTGTTGATTCTTTGATTCCTTTTCTAGTAAGTAACTTATTTGTAATGAGCGTGACAATTTTCACGTCTGTATTGATACATTCCTTTGTGCAACAAATGCATTTCCTGTTTTGAAATATTTATGTTATTTCGTATCCTAGGTGTTTAAAGTTTTGGATTTTGTTGTATTTTTTTACTTTGGTAATTAGTATGTTGTTTCCTTAATATCATATTATTTTCACAGTAGATGTTTTGACTGTTATATATTGGCTTTAAATCACCTCTTTAAACTCCATCTCAGGATCTAGATATGTGTTTTTGTGATACGTTAAATGGATCTTTTCCGTGCTATATACTCATAGTTCACTTCAGTTCCAGTACGTTTTGATGATTGGTTCCATTTAAACTACTACAGGATAATTCCGGGTCTAAGGATGAGACCATATTTTTTTGTTTCACAACTGTTAAACAACAGTTTATAAGAGCACAAATAATAACCCAATTCATTTTACAGATGCCTCAATAGTAGTTCTTAATGTAGTCAAACTTGGAGCTCAATAAATTAAGTACTTTACCAAGTCTACCTTAACAGATATAGGATGATACAATGTGAAACCCATGTATTTATTCCAGTGTGATGTTTTCCTGCAAACACTGGTATCTAAACTGTCATTTTTTCTTTGCTTGAGTTTACAACTCAACATATGTAGTTCTCCCTCATCGTTTTCTAATCCATAAGTGAATGAGACTGGACCTACTATTTAACTTCTGTGTATGAGAACACTGCATATGTTTGGATTTCAATACAGTCAACACGTCGTCTACGTATCGCCACTATACTTTCAAGCTGGGTTAAAGGGTTACTAATTCCATTTGCTTTCATAGTCATCCATAAATATGTCGACTACAACCGGGAATATTGAAGATTTAATTGCTACTCTTTTTTGTTTGTATATTTTGTCTTAGAATTCGAAGACTATTGACGTTAGACACAGCGAGCAGTTCCGGTCTAAAGAAAATTCGTTTCCACGCGTTGTAGGTTGCTTTTGTGAATACAGTTACACCTCGACCGATAGCAGGTGGTCTCAGCACTGATTTTGTTTTCATTTATTACCAAGCCAACATTTAGAGTAGCTTCGTAAGAGAACTGACCTCCCACGGAATATTCAGATCCGTATAAGTGAATGCAGTTGTCCAAGACGGCTTGAAAAGCTCAATTACAATGTTTCTGTCCATAGCACTGCACGACGTTCCTTTGAATCTCACACGGAACATCAGCTCTCTCGAGCTTTCAGATACGCCTTGCTGATGAGAGCCAGGAAGTACAAAACTTAATAATCATAGTACTTTCTTTTTGGGTTTGCCAGGGCATACCATTTTTACGTATGTGGCCATTAGAAGCTATTTATAAGCTCTTGTACAAATATTTATGTCATTCTAATTGATTTTCCGGTAGTAACAATTTCCATGTGCAAAAGAAATAACAATATATAGGATAAAGTTAATGGGTGCGAAGATAAAGACTAGTTATTCCAAATTTTCATGATTTATGATAATTTCATCTATATATATATATATATATATATATATATATATATATATATATATATATATATCACTTGGAAGCTGTGTTATGAATTATTCGTGTTTGTGTTATTTCAAATCATCCAATTAATAAGAAGGATGTTAAGAAGATTGTTATGCTCTTATATTTATATGGAGGCCTATCTTGATGCGATCATATTAGATCCAGAGCTTCCCACCAATAACATGATAGTGGTTCAATTCCGTTTTAGAAACAAAAACAGTATAAGGACGACAATTTTGACACGCCGTACAGTAAGCCAGGTGGGAATAGGGGGTAAAATAGAGGAACGTTGTGCAAATTAAAAGGTAGCAAGTGGTTGAAACGGCAGGAATATTGTCTGTGAGCTCCAGCATATGTTGTTAGTGCACATAATTATCCAGGATCCTTCAAAGCTCGTGGTTCTGTTACCGTTTCCTATCGAAGAGCCTCATATTGCAGTTAAAACTAAAAAGGACTTTGATCTCATGTCTTTGTTCTCTCTCTGGTTAGGTATCCGAACAAAGTCTGGATGAGACTGTAAGCCTTCGAACAGCGGTGCTAGATGATTACAACCATTTTTCTACATTTCCACTCAGATTTATAATTGTATGCGAACCTGTACCCTTACTTGTATCTCATACGATCAAAGCAGGAGAATATCTACATTGCAATCATGGTCTGGTCAGACTTTGAAGTAAGTGAGAATCCACTAACTCCTATTTTTGAGTTAGTGAACAAATATGACTCCGAAACCTGAAGGAAGAGTTGGCAGTTAAGCGCGTAACATTTGCCACTCATGTTACAGAAAGGCAGGTGGTCGCAAGTAAAACTAAGAACTTAGTATGAGCATACTGGCTGCAGGGCTTGTAAATATGAGTATTTCTCGAATAAAGGGCTTACAAGCAACATGATAGTAACAGTTTGACCGCATAGAAGGTTCGTCGGATGAGCATTCACTGGTAAGCATTACATTAAGATGTTAGGTAGTGGTTCAGCAGTATATAATTTCGTGACGGGATGAAAATAGTAAACCCGCTGACTTTCCACAGTGAACGTTTGCTTTTGTACTTGCTGACTTGGCGCTAGGTGGAGGTAAATGTGGTTGGTTTCCCCGCAGTAGTTCAAACAGGCAGGATATCAATTTCACCGTGCTGGATTCCAGAGCATGCATCTGCAGAATAGAAGGGAAAACGAAAGACGAGAGAACACAGCAAGAGAAGGCTTGAAAGACTTGGTAAAAGTGCGTTATGAAGACTATGAGAAATGCAGTCAACAGAGTTTTCCACGTAAAGTTATGATTATGATGATTTGTAAGTCACGCCGAATGCATCCGGGACGGCTGGAGAAGCCCTTCTTCACGGCTTTGTCCAGTTGCATGGTTGCCTATCTGATGTTTGCGTCCAATCGTATTCTAAAACACTTCCCACGTTGGAATCGGGAGGAGTTTTCTCACACGTAACCTGGCATACCGGAGATCTCTTATGAGGGGTCATACACCCACCGAGTATTGTAAATTTAAATTGCCATCGCATACTGTGCAAATTCAGAGATTAATTCACAGGCGACGCCGATGAAGCGCCCAACGAATCCTACAGAAACGTCTTAGCCTTGTGGAAGAAGCGTTCTGTTTACGCGATATTTTCAGCTACTGCAGATCTGCACTGTGGGGACCTTTTCAGCCTTTAATTTCCCTAAAGACGATAGTATCTACGGTACTTTGGCTAGAGATACGTCGAAGTGAAAACCAAGGTGAATGAAAAGTCTTTAACTGTCGCATTAGATTGTCTATATTCACGTCTGATTTGTATTCCCTGTGACACTGAGTTGTGGAGAGAACCATGAATGGCACTGCTCGTAAGTGCCATGAGAATGAGTATGTAGCGTCACACACTTCCTCAAGATCAATAACCTAGGGTTCGACGACATTCAACAGTGATGCTGACCTTGATGGTCTAACTGGACTCACTGAGCTGAAGGCCCTCTGTCGAGCATCCGGGCCATTTGGCACGCTGTCGTGTTAAGTTGCACGGCTGGCATTCGACTGTCTAGCCAGTTAGTTTGAACGCATCGGTATCTTGGTACAACCAACCAAATATACTATTCCATCCGACTACGCTATCGTGTTCTTCCTTGGTCTCGTGTTCGTGTGTATATAACAAGTCCAAATAATTAGTGATTGGTCTTTGAGTCTGTCAAGTTCTCACCGGGACAAATCCTAAACCAGTAACTGGGCAACCAGTGTGAAAAAGTGACATACAGCCGACTACAGCAGGAAGCAAAGTGCACTAAACAACTACGGGGTGCCTAGTTCCACTGCACTAATTCGCCGAATAAGTATTATCACGTCATCACCAACTAAAACGTATAGCTTTTCACGAATATGTCTTGTCCGATTTTCCATCCAAGTCTAGCTTCTGAAACTCTTTGTGCACCCTACTCTATCGCAGTTTAATATTTCTCTACGTAGACATTCTCCAACTTAATCGGGTACACTGTGCCAGCTGATAAGTTGAATCACAACATGGAAGTGCGTTAATATATCACTTGCATGGATATTTTTCCTGCAGGCCACCCTGAGTGGGCATCCCTTTACGTCGGTATCCACAAAACATACCAAAAGTAGCAGGTACTTTATTATACTCTTTACCGTTATACTCGTTAGCATACTGGTTTGTTATCAGCATGGCTTACGAAGTGAACGTTACGTTATTTGTTTTTTCTGTGCTCTGGGATTCTGGAGGTCTAGCTACTACCTGTTTGCCAGTTTTGTCTGAAAACTGATGAATTCACATGTATACGCTACCTGTTAATTATGGCTGTCATTTTTTGCGGTAACCATCGTTGGCAAATCTGAGGCCCTTTCATCGTCATCTAAATCCTGGGACAGTCCGCCGAACTTTAGTGTGCTTTGACATTTGACGGGAAGTTATAGCATTTCACTGTTTTAAGCACCAGTTTACTACCGAAGCTGAGTTTGCAAGACAAGTAGTGACTTGAATCTGCGTTGCCATGAAGTTTATATTCCTGCTATTTTAACCGTCTGACAATGTATTTACATTATTGCTTGATATCTGTGGCTTCCAACGTTAGCATGAGCAAGGATTTAGTTGTCGAAAATGAACCAGTGCTTGAAACCAAGAGACTAAAGGTTTCAAACCCGTCACCGGGGTCTGAAAATAGTGAATTTGCTAACAGTCTCTCTTTTGATCCGTCAAAGCTCATGAATGACTTACATAATGATATTACTGCAAACGGACGTAGTAAATAGGGCAACACCAATGCATTTACTGATCTGCAGCGTAAACTAGGCTGTCTTACGCCACTGATTTGCCTATTGGATCCCACAACAGACTCGTTACTGGACAGTCTTGTTAAACGTGAAAATTTAGTGAACGCCTTGGCCAACTTATCCAGCAAATGGCCCATTTCCTCACACAGCGCATCGTCCTGAATGTGCCTCAAATGTTCGTACTGAAACTTGCGAAAAAAGATTTTCCTCGAGCCTGTGGTTTGCACGAGTCTGTGTACACAGCCCGGCGTCTTAAGTAGAAGATCAATAAACACCCCAGTCTAGTATAACTCCGTTTGACTTACTGTGTAATGAGACAGTTCTGTGGTTTACGCAGATCTGTAAGACCGTTAAAATGCCTCGAAAAGTTTCAGGTACCTCCAGATCTTGAGCCATGGCGGCGACGCACACGTGGACCAAAATCTTATAGAGTCCCACAAGCTTCATCCAAAACGACGGCTACTCAAGGCAGGCCGATACCCGGAAGCCAGCCCATTGCATCAGATGACTCTGCAAGTGCAGATCAACGAAAGCTGGGGGAGCACATTGCTGCTTGCACATCAGTTACTACCATTTCACCTACCAACAGAAAAGCGACCACTGAAAGTGAAGGCAAAGTCTCTACCAGTCATGGTGACTTATGCGCAGTTGCTGTT